GAGAGAAGCTCCGTCTAAAAAAAAAAAAAAAAGTAAACTCAATATTAAAAACTGAAATTATCAGTTATTTAAAGTTATGTAATAAGTCAACAAGAGATGGAAAATCATTTTATATTTAAAACTGAGTGGTAATGAGAACATTCTCCTGCTGACATAACAGTTCCCTTACTTACCGTTTGATGTGATGTGTGAATTTCTTTCTTTCTCTCTCTCTTTTTTTTTTTTTTGAGACGGAGTTTCACTCCTGTTGCCCAGCTGGAGTGCAATGGCACGATCTCAGCTCATTGTAACTTCTGCCTCCTGGGTTGAAGCAATTCTCCTGCCTCAGCCTCCTGAGTAGCTGGGATTACAGGCATGCGCCACCATGCCCGACTAATTTTGTATTTGTAGTAGAGATGGGGTTTCTTCATTTTGGTCAGGCTGGTCTTGAACTCCCGACCTCAGGTGATCCACCCACCTCGGCCTCCCACCCAGCCCTGATGTGTGAATTTCTAACTAGAATGTAAGAGGAAATGTGGATTCTGAATTGCTGAATATTTTGTGCCATTGTCAATTTCTTTTCATGTACAACTTCTCTTCCTAAGAGGTGTGCTCTTACTATACTCCCTCTCTGCCCACACATGCTGTTTTGCTCCCATTAATTCCAAAGAACTGTTCCAGTAGTGTATTCTTTAAAACAACAACAACAAAAACACATTTGCCTCCCAAGTCAAATATTCAATTAAAGATTCACAGACTTGGTTCAGCCTTGTGCTTGGATTTAATAGAGCCTTTCAAACTGCTCTGATTGAAAATCTGTAAAAATACTGATTGTTTTTTTTTCTTGGCCGCTTTTTCAGCATCTAAGGAAATAGACATCTCTGGTTTTCAAGACTCTCGTAGTGATACTGGGATCCTGTTTTTGTAGGGGAGAGGGGTTGGGCTGATGTTGATAATGTGACCTTGGTGTGATCCTCTGGTTCTCGGGCTCAGAATCAATATGACAGAATTCAGCCCTCTGAATTCTGTTGCCATGCAACCAAACAGTGTCCATCATCAGCAACTCAGCCCCATGTTCTCGATGGAGCTGAGCTTCAGAAACCAGAGTGCAATCGGGAGTTCTGCTATTGGAGGGGAAGGAAAGAGTGGTGGCCATGGGAAGGCATTTTCTTTCCTTCATACCCCAGCTACTCATGAATGATGCTATCCTGGATATTAAAGGCCGCTGTCCTTGGAAATACTCATCCATGGCCACTGTCTGAGTGTCTGTCTCCGATGACATTTGAAGAAATTCAGTTGTTGGACCTACGTGCAATCCAAGCATAGTTTTCGATGTTAACTGGGTCATTTCTGAGGTTGACCAATTCATCCTGCACACTATTGTTAGTCCACATTTAATGCTGAGATATCTTCTACGAGCCACAGAACTTGGAAACTGTAAAAGTTTTTCCAGTGGATTTCTGTGTACCATTTTTGGTTTTCCATTTTTCCAGGATACCTCTTTCTCCCACATCCAGGCTAGAATGCCTTGTTTCAAAGAGGTTAGATGCAAAACTTGGGTTGATCCAGTGCTAAGGGGCATTTGTTTAATGTGGCATGCTGGAACAGACTTGGAAGATTCCAATTATAGTTAATGGGATTTAGGCATGTTGATTGCTTTTTGACAGTTCCTTCCCTGGGGTCCAGCTTATCTGCTAAAGCAACTATGTTCAAAGGCAGGGCTGAAATTATCTTCCACAGTTGGGTTTAGTTTAGTGGCTTTTACTAAAACGTTTCCCCATTCTCAAATCCTGTTCTTCTTATGAATAGAGGTTATGTTGCTACCTCTCAGCCTTCATTGAGAAATTCGTTTCTTTTTATAATTTGCAGATACCAGCCTTGTTCTTCGTGATCTGTAGATGCATATTTACCAACTAATATCTTGGTTATAAATCAGTAATGAAGGCATATTACTTAACATGTATTGGTCATCAGTATTAGGTTTACATTGCTGAAATCTAACATTCTTTCCTTGCTTATTTCACGGGGCTCCTAACATTGCATCAATCTAAGGATGTCTTCTGCGTCATCTGCTTTGCTTGCTTAGGTTTAGCCCAGCTGTGAGGGAGGGCATAGGACTCTTCTCCCACATTCACAAACTTCATTCCACTCCCTGGTCCTCAGGCAGAGTGATGGAGAGGATACAGTGATGGCAGCCAAGGAGGCTTGTTTTTGCCATATTGTGCCATGAGGTTATCTGTGAAGTTCTTTGAACTCTATCTGGAAAACGGAACTGTCTCTGTCCTGGGTTGTGCTGAAGGTCCAAGGAGAGCACAAAAATGATGCTGTCTACAAATATAAATATGTAGCGCTAGAACATTGTCTTTTTGACAAAAAAATTTCTAGGGGCTTCATCATGGTTTTGAACTATAAGTTCCCATGGCAAATATGCTTGCTGTAGGAATTCCCTGCTTAAAAGTTGAAATGAGTTTGTAGAGGAAATAAGAGCCATAAAGCTGAGCTAAATGGGTGACTTCCTCCCTCCCTCCCTCCTTCCCTCCTTTCCTTCCTTCTTTCCTTCCCTCCCTCCTCCCTTCCTTCCCTCCTTCCCTCCTTCCTTCCCACTAATTCATGCCATGACCACCTATGGATGTTGTGGACCAGGTGTGAATCCTGCCCCACAGCTCAGGTTAGAAATCTCCCCATTGCACCATAAATCTGCTTTCTCAGTAGTTTCTCCCTCCAAGGGTTCCCCTGCCTCTGCCTCGGCCCTGGGTGCAGTCTGGGGATCTAGGGTTGTCAGAGCTCCACTGCGGCCATGCTGCTAACTTTATTTCTTTTTATAGAGGGAGAAAGAAGTGGTCTTACCTAGCGTTCACCAGCACAACCCTGACTGTGACATTTGGGTCCACGAGTATTTCACTCCGTCCTGGTTCTGTCTGCCCAATAATCAGCCTGCCCTGACGGTTGTCCGGCCCGGGGACACTGCACGGGATACCCTGGAGCTGATTTGCAAGGTATGGAGCTGCTTTGGGTTGTTTTTCCAAGAAGAGCAGAATGAGGTGTAGGAATCTTCAAAGGCACATGTGGAAACCCTGAGTCCTGGAATGGGAAGGTGCTTAAAACACACCTCCCTTTCATTTCAGAGTAGCGTTGCATTCCTTTGTGGTAACATTCATAATTATATTAGTGAATGCTTCACCTTTGGGAGGAGAGGGACTCTTCTAAGTAGCATCTTTCAGTGTGCATGTTTGATAGATTTCTAATGCACATATCGTGCTCATTACAAACCTTTTAGAAAATCTAGGTGAAGAACACAAACAGCAAGTTTTTCACTAGTCATTCATTTTTATTCACAAAATCAAAAAATAACCATTGCAAACATTTTGGCGTTTGACCATTCATTCTTTTTTCCACACACATACACATACATGTGTTCAGTGGCATCATACTATGAGTACTATTTTGTCACCTGCTCTTTAATCAGTAACCAATACACTATGGATATGTCTAGAATAGGGGAAAATGGAAGCAAATACAAGTGACCTCCATTGGTGGGAAACTCCTCTTCTTGTGAACACAGAATTAGCCTTTTTAAAAAAAAAAAAATGACAAATGACTGAGCTCCTTTTCTCTACTTTCCCCTTAAGTCGTAGAAGAAATGCCTTCATCTTTTTCAAAGTGAAGCTGGTTTCATTTTTCCCCCTGAAGGGCAGCCAGGTGCGTGGCCTGGAGTGAGGGGATAGAGAGGAAAGAGCTTTCCTTGCATGCCTGTTTTTATTTTTACATAATGAATTGCATTAATAGTTCTATGTAGGCCGGGCGCGGTGGCTCAAGCCTGTAATCCCAGCACTTTGGGAGGCCGAGGTGGGTGGATCACAAGGTCAAGAGATCGAGACCATCCTGGTCAACATGGTGAAACCCCGTCTCTACTAAAAATACAAAAAACATTAGCTGGGCATGGTGGCGCGT